ACCCCGGGGTCCCCCCGCAGCGCCCACCTTCCTCGGAGCCGGAGCAGATGGGGTTCATGTTCCAGAGGGTTTGCATGAAGGAGGCGTCCGCCTGCAGCTCCCCGCTCGCCGTCGAGAGGTGCTGGGGACGGGCGTGGCACGGGCGTGGCACGGGTGTGGCACGGGCGTGGCACGGGGGGACCCAGGCACCCGGGTCTGCAACCCCCCTCCCCCCCAAAGCACGGACCCCCAACACACGTGCGAGGGCTGGCACGAGGACGGGGAACCCGGGGGTGAAGAGCAGGGCTCGGTGGTGCACGCTCGCACGCCCCTCGCACGCTGGAGCTTGCTCGTGCACGCACCGGTGCTCACCTGGGCACGCGCACGGCCCTCGCACGCTGGTGCTCGCTCGTGCATGCGCCCGGCCCTTGTGCACTGGTGCTCGCTTACGCACAGCCAGTCCTCACACGCTGTGCTCGTGCACGCACACAGCCCTCGCACGCCAGTCCTTGCTCGCGCACACACGCAGCCCTTGCACGCCAATCCTCGCTTCTGCACACACGCAGCCCTCGCACACCAGTCCTTGCTCGCACACACGCACAGCCCTTGCACACTAGAGCTTCCTCACGCACACACGTGGCCCTTGTGTACTGGTGCTCACTTGTGCACACACCCAGCCCTTGCGCCCTGGTGCGCGCTTGTGCGCACCCAATCCTCGCACACCGGTCCTTGCTTGTGCTCACGCACAGCCCTTACTCGCTCGTGCACGCACAGGGTCCTTGCACGCTGGTGCTCGCTTGCGCACACACACGGCCCTTGCAGGCTGCTGCTCACCCGTGCACCCTCACGCTCGCTCGTGCATGCACAGGGCCCTTGCACACTGCTGCTCCCCCATGCACCCTCGTGCTTGCTCATGCACGCACACAGCCCTTGCACGCTGCTGCTCACTCGTACACGCACAGGGCCCTCGCACGCTGTCGCTCACCCATGCACCCTCACGCTCGCTCGTGCACACACAGGGCCCTTGCACGCTGCTGCTCACCTGTGCACGCACACGGCCCTTGCACACTGCTGCTCGCTCGTGCACCCTCGCGCTCACTCACGCATGCACAGGGCCCTCGCACGCTGCTGCTCCCCCATGCACCCTCGCGCTCGCTCGTGCACGCACAGGGCCCTCGCACGCTGGAGCTCCCCGTGCCCCGCGCGCCCTTGCACACCCGCACGCGCCCCCGTACCAGGTAGCGCTCGGAGGAGACGCTGACGAGGATCAGGTCGTCGCCCACCCGCACCTTCTCACCCTCCGAGCGCTGCTTGGACGCGGGGTGCATGGTCCACCAGCACGCCTCGCCTGCGGGGGCGGTCAGGGGGGCGCCCCCAAACCCCAGGGGGGACCCCCAACCTGCAGCCCCCCAAGGCTCCTAGGGACCCTCCAGGGGACCCCAAAACCCCAGGGACCCCCCCCCGCAGGGGGACCCCTCCAAACCTGCAACCCCCAAGGCCCCTAGGGACCCCCCAGGGGACCCCCCAAGTCTCATAGGTACCGCCCTAGGGGGACCCCCCCCACACCTGCAACTCCCCAACGCCCCTACGGACCCCCCCCCCAGCAC